TGAGCAATGCTGTATGCCGATAAGAAAGGCAAAATGGGCTCTGGAGTGGGACGCACCTGCCACGAAAATCTGCGCGACGATGGCAAAGTACTGGTGATACGTCTGCAGCGCGCGACAAGCCTTCGCACCGTCGTCAGGTTGTAGACAGGAGAGGGTATCAGCGTGCGCACCTGCACTTTATTCGGGCTGTCCGACGCCCAGAAGCTGCCCACGACGATCGGAACGGTGTTCCCTGCCATGGATACATAGCGGTTGAGGTAGAAGAGGAGCCCGGCCCATGTTATGCGGGTGCCCCAGTACGTGCGAATCTCTTCGTCGGCGGTGAGGATGTAGTCGTAAAAGAGGATGGCTTGGCGAGGAAAGGAAGCTTAAGTTAATATGCATCTAAGAGCATTGCCATGCGACGCACTGAGGGAGACGAGGGCGATGTAGGTGTTAATATTCCTATATGCCAGGTCCTGTCAGCGCCCTGTCGCCTGTCTGTCTGATTTGTATTGGGACCCACAACTCCCATTGGAACTCTGCGAGGCTAATATTATCGGGTCCAGAGACGGCCATAAACCGACCGTGAGCTTTAGACGAGGGAGGGGACCGGGGACATGAAGGTGGGGAGAGAAAGGAAGCGGCCGTTGTCGCCATCTTTGCCGCCACCATTGATTTTGAATTAGCCCCATGTGATGATGTTCAACACGGTTCCACCCCTGTCCCGGTCCGGTAAATTCGTATTTCCTATCGCGGCGCTGCACTGGAGTCGAATGTGCAGAAAGATCTACCAGGGTACGTCGAGCATACGACTACAGGGTGGTGAAGAAAAGAAAAACGTGTTGATCGTGAGTTGTCGTGAGAGATTGAACATCGCCGTCGATCCGATCGCAAGATTGATGGAGTGATGGGTCAGCAAGTTCAGTGTGGACAGCATCCCAGCCGAACCGTAATAAATGAAGGGAAAAGGAAGAAACGACAAAAAAAATGCAACACAATACATACTTGAATGCTATAGCCCAGGCTCGAATCGAACGAGCGACTCCCACACGTCAAGAAATCTCGAGTTCTAGACCTACACATGAGGTGGGTGCGGACCGTCCGCGACCGGGCCTTCCTCAGAGTTGATATTCGCGCGTAAGCTTTGGGTGGAAATCTTTTCTGTAAGGCTGTCGTGCCCCGTGCTAAAGGGTGGGGTGAACTCGAAGATGTTCGTGATTCAGAGTTGTCCATGGTTAGGCTCGGGTGAACATCCAATAAATCAGACAGCGGTTGGCTACTAAGGACTTCAAGAACAGGCCTAAAAGCGCAAAAAAACCTCTGGGTCGTGAGCGTATGGCCCAGGCTCGAATCGAACGAGCGTATCCTGCGAAATGCTTTATTACGCTGCCGGATTTATCATTGCAGTGCGGACCATCCGCAACTAGGCCTTGTGCACATAGTCGAGAGCCTAGTCATCCTGAGGAAATGCGGGTCCATCACGAGGATAAATTGTGCTTAGGGTGGCCAGGAACGGTGGTGGAAAGTCAAAGAGCAGTCAAAATTAATCAATTGGGAAGAGTAGGTAAGGAAACTAATTAGCTACACGGTTCCGGTCTCGCCAAAAAAAAAGCATATGTAGATTCAGAATCATGGCCTCTCGAATCGAACGAGCGGATTCTGCGGTATGCAGCGAATATAAAGTACAGATTGCATGCAGGTGCGGACCATCCGCAACCAGGCCTCATGATCATGCATGCAGCCAAGAACCTTGTTACCCCGGTAACAAAATGGCCTGTGGAACAAAGGGGACTTGCGTTTGCGTTCTTGTGCTGCTAAGAAACAACGTGAACGTTGGAAGCCGAGGACCAGTCGAAACGAACCAAATTCGAAGGATATGGGAGAAATGAATTCGATGGATTGGCATCTTGTAGCCACACTACTAGGTTTAGCTGAGAGTTGAAGTCCTACAATATTTGCAGCTCATTCCAAAAAAAACTGAGTATGGCCCAGGCTCGAATCGAACGAGCACCATCCCCATATGCACCTGGAATTGTCTTCGAACGTGAGGGGACGCGGACCATCCGCCGCTAGGTCTTGTTATCTGTCGTGAACTTGATTATCAGGATAAAGTATTCGCTGTTAAAAATTCAAAAGATATGAGGGTGTATCCCTGACTCATGGCCCAGGCTCGAATCGAACGAGTGACTCTCACATACAAATCGAACTACACGACCTATGTCAGGTGGGTGCGGACCATCCGCGACGGGGCTTTCCTCAGAGCCTCAGAGGTGATATTTGCGAGCAAGGGTTGGGTAGGAAATCTTTTGTGTAAAGCTATCGTACCAATTGCGAGGTTGAGGGTTGAAAATAAAAAGACGAAGCTAAAGGGTGGGATGAACGCGAAGAGAAGACTGAGTTGTCGATAAAAGGGCTCAGGGTGAACGTCCAATAAAGCAGACAACGCTTGTTCTCAAGAACGGGCCTGAAAGTGCCAAAAAAAAACCTCAAGGTCAACGTATTGCCCGGGCTCGAATCGAACGAGCGACTCCCACGTCAAGAAGTCTGAACTTCGACGTTATACGTGAGGTGGGTGCGGACCATCCGCGACGGGGTTTTCCTTATAGCCGGTATTCGCGAGCAATTGCAAGCTTTGGGTAGGAAATCTTTTGTGTAAAGCTGTCGTGTCAATAGCAAGGTTGAATTGAGGCTGAAAGTGAAACGCTCAAGTTAAACGGCGGAGTGAACTCAAAGATTTTCGTGATTGAGAGCTGTCCGGCTCAGTGAGTATCCAATAAACCAGACAACGATCGGCCTCAACGACGGGCCTGAAAACGCCAAAAAAAAAAAAAAAAAAAAAAAAAAAAAACATCAGGGTCATGAGTGTATGGCCCAGAATCGAACGAGCGTATCCTGCGAAATGCTTTTATCGCGGGTTCACCATTGCATGCAGGTGCGGACCATTCGCGGCCTTGTGTGCATTGTTGGGAACCCATTTATCCTGGAGAAATGACGTCCGTCGAACGGGGTTGGAAAGCTACGAGCGACTCCCACAGACAAATAATACTTGAACTAGATTAGGTGGGTGCGGACCATCCGCGACGGGGCTTTCTTTCCTCTTCAGATATTCATGAACTGGCTTCGAGTTTTCTGTGGCAACGCCGTCGTGCCAAGCCCACGAGGAGTCGAGGACTGAACCGAGTACCAGGGCGGTACAGAGGAGAATTCAAGCATTGCGAGCCTGAGGTTGAAAATGAGATGTTGAAGTCGAAGGGGGTAGAGTGGACTCGAAGATATTCGTGATCCAAGGTCGTCCATGGAAAGCCTCGGGTGAACATCCAAGATAAATCAGACAACACTTGGTTTCAAGAACGAGCTTGAAAACGCAAAAAGAATCTTCAGGGCCGACGGAGGGCCCGCCTCGAATTGAACGAGCGTATCCTGCGAATGCTATCTCATGCTGCTGGATTTTTCCATTGCATGCAGGTGCGGACCATCCGCAACCAGGCCTTGTGCACCTAGTCGGGAATCCAGTCATCCTGGGGAGATACCGGTCCATCCCGAGGATGAATTGCGCTTGGGTGTCAATGGCCAAGAACGGGGTTGTAGAGCTGAGAAGCAGTCAAAATAAATCAAACGGGTGGAGATAAGGAGAATCATACGGTTCCGGTCTCGCCGAAAAAGTAAAAGGGGAGAATTTCACAATGCGTATTGCCCAGGCTCGAATCGAACGAGCGACTCCCACACATCCAGAAAAATTCGACACATGTGAGGTGGGTGCGGACCATCCGCGACGGGGCTTTCACTGCAGATTTTCATGACCTGGCTTCGAGCTTTCGGTGTCAAAGCCGTCGTGCCAAGCCCAGAAAGAGTCGAAGACTGAACAGAGCTCCAAGGCGGTACAGCGGAGAAGCATTGCGAGGTTGAAAGTGAACAGTTTAGTTGAAGAGTGGAGTGAACTCGAAGATGTTCGTGATTCAGAGTCGCTCAGGGAAAAGCTCCGAGTCGGGGCGATCATCGAATAAACCAGACAACAAGTGGTTACAAGAGAGGGCCTGAAAACGCCCCAAAAAACTCTAATCGTCATGACACATGGCCCGGGCTCGAATCGAACGAGCGACGCCCACATATAAACGATACCGCAGTTATGTGAGGTGGGTGCGGACCATCCGTGACCGGGCTTTCTTCAGAGCTGAGCAAGCCTTGGATAGGAAATCTTTTGTGCAAAGCTATCGTGCCGCGTGTGAGGTTGAAGGCGAAATGTTTAGGTGAAGGGTGGAGTAAACTCAAAGCTGTCCGTGATTCAAAGTCGTCCATGGAAAGGCTCGCGGTCACATCCAAGATAAATCAGACAACGGTTGGGCTCAAGAACGGGCCAACAGGGAAAAAGAATTTTGATGGTCATGAACGAATGGCCCGGGCTCGAATCGAACGAGCGTATCCTGCGCAATGCGTTTGCGTATGCCGTATCATCGCATGCAAGTGCGGACCATCCGCAACCGGGCCTTGCGTGCATGGTCGGGAATCCATTTGTCATGGAATCCCATTTATCTTGGAGAAATACTCGTATACTGGTCCGTCGAACGGGGGTTGGAAAGCCGGAAAGCAGTCAAAATGAAGTGGAGAAGGCAAGGGGAATCAAAGGAAAATGCATGGTGTGGGAACGGACATCCAATAGATCAGACAACACTTAGGTTCAAGCACGGGCCTAAAAACACCAAGAAAAATGTCATGGTCCTGAACGTATGGCCCGGGCTCGAATCGAACGAGCATATACTGCGAAATGTGTTGTTACTTCTGGGCTTATCACTGAATGCAAGTGCGGACCATCCGCAACCGGGCCTTTGTGCAGATGGCTGGGAACCCATTTATTTTGGGGAAATACCGGTCCGTCCCGAAGAGGGATTATATTTAGGGCGGCCAGGAACGGAGTTAGAAAGCTGTGTAGCAGGCAAAATAAACCAGTTGGAAAGGGGAGGCACACAAGAATGCAACGGTTCCGATCTCGCCAAAAAAAAACAACCCAAGAATCAGAATGAGGGCCCAGGCTCGAATCGAACGAGCGTATCCTGCGAAATGCTTCATCGCGCTGCGGGGTTCATTATTGCATGCAGGTGCGAACCATCCGCAACCAGGCCTTCTGCACATAGTTGGGAACCCGTTTATCCTGGAGAATTACCGGTCCGTCGAACGGGGTTGGAAAGCTGGAAAGCAGGGAGTTCGAACCCACACCGGAAAGTTGTCACGTCATGCGTCACACTTTCCGGTTTGATCTGGGGGAATGGCTTCCCCCAGACCCCCTCCTTCTTCGCTGGCGCTGCCTTTTCCGCTGGCGCGGGGCCTTCTTCGCTGCGCTACATTTTCGCTGCCGCTGGCTTTTTCCGCTGCCGCGGGGCCTTTTTTTTCTTTATCTTTTTCATTTTTCAATGTATTTGACTTGTAAAATTGAGGGGTTTGTTGCGGGCGCCGGCCCGGACGGCTGGGGTTTCCACCCCAGACCCCGACCGCTGGGCGCGGGGCCTTCCGCTCGCCGCGGGGCCCACTGCGTGGGGCTGACGCTCGCCGCGAGGCCGACTGCGTCGTGCCCGAAAAAAAAAGGAACTCAGGGAATCGAACGCTCGACCTTGGAAAAAATATAAGCTTTTTGGAGTCACTCATAGTAGGGCAATTTGCCGATGAAAGGACTTGTTATTGTTCCGGTGCCATCACCCGGGGGCGTTCGTGACAGTCACGCGTGACTACTTTCCGGTGTGAGTCCAAATTCCGGAAAGCAGTCGAAATGAATTGACTGGGTGGAGGAGGCAAGGAGAATGAAAGGAAATTGGATGCAGGTGCGGCTAGGGTAAGTGTATCGCCCTCGGGACACCCCGGTCGAAAAGGTTGAATATTTGCGGCGCCGGAGGTTCAAAACGAAGGAAATCCAAAGGAAAAGCATGGCCCAGGCTCGAATCGAACGAGCGAGTCGGAGCAAGAGACTCTCACACAAACACGACGAGGCCTATTCCTGAGCTGTCCTTGAGTGTGATTTTGAGTCGATTTTCAAGAATTTGTGAGAATTTGAACTTGAACTTCCACGCGACGCGTCCGTCAGGTGACCGCTTATCGGCTCCGCCTCACCGCCACAGTGACCGGCAAAGCTGACACAGGGTGACCGTGACGTGACTACGCACACACCACCTTGCTCACTCATCCTTCGACGTGCTCGGTCTGCTCGCCACCGCCCACACACCTAGGCCCCCGTTTCTTCCGCTTCGCACAACCGCGCACCCGCACCCGAACCCGAGATGGCCTCCGCATACTACGAGTTCTACCGCGGCTCCTCGTGCGTGTCTCTTTTCGGCCGAGGTTTGGAAAGGGAGGTTAGCTGACTGGGCGGGGACAACACAGAATCGGGATGGCATTGACGGACTCGCTTGACGAGCTGATCACGAGCGGGGCGATCACGCCGCAGCTGGCGATGAAGGTTCTGCAGCAGGTGTGTGGTTTGGCTTTCGTCTTCCGTCTGTGTCCACCGCGTTACCCTTCGCTCTGGCTCCCGGAGCACACCCTTCATCTTGCTCTACCTCCCGCTCTGTTGTATTCTCTCCGTCGACCGCAGAAGGAAAAGCTGATGATGCTATTTCTGCTAGTTTGACAAGTCGCTTGCGGACACGATGGTGAAGCAGGTCAAGGCGAAGACGACGCTAAAGGTGCGTTTCTTTCTTTCGCTCCGGGTTTCTTTTCTTTGCATCCTTGCTATTCGCTCCCGCCATCCTTTCTTCCTTCTTACTCCCCTCGCACGATAGACCACGTCGCTTCATAACCTCTTTCCCTCCCTCCCTCCCATATCCATCCCCCCTCCCCTTCTCCCTCCTCCCTCCTCCCTGTCCCCTTCCCCTCATTACCTCCTCCCTCGCTCCCTCATTACCTCCTCCCTCGCTCCCTCATTACCTCCTCCCTCGCTCCCTCGCTCCCTCCCCCTCCCCCTCCTTCCTCCCCCTCCCCCTCCTTCCTCCCCCTCCCCCTCCTCCTCCCCCTCCCCTCCCCCTTCCTTCCTTCCCCTCCCTCCCTGCCCCTCCCTCCCTGCCCCTCCTTCTAGCCACCTCCCCCCATCCTCTCTCTCTTCCCTCCCCTCTGTCCTCCCTTTTTCGCCCTATCCAGCAACACCAAATGATATTTTGCGCTTCCTTGCCTTTCCCCACCTTCTCCCTTCCCCCTCCTCCTCAAAGAAAAAGAGACACTAAATGCTATCTCGCGCAGGGCCACCTAAAAACCTACCGCCTCTGCGACGACGTCTGGACCTTCATCGTGAAGCAGGCGTCGTTCAAAATGGAGCAGAACGAGATGGTCACGACGCCGCGGATCAAGATCATTGCGTGCAAGAATGGGGATGCGATCGAGGCGGGGAAGAAGTAGTTTTCTCTCGTCTCACCCCGTCGCTCGACCTCCCCTTGTGTTCCCGGTTCCACTCGACACTCGTCCCTCGTCTTCCCCCCGGTCCTTGTCGTCCCGCGCGTCCAGTGCCCTCACCCGATTTTGTTACCCCCCACGGATGGTCGAGATACACCACCCTCTTGGCACGCGGCGTATACGTCGATTTTCCCCCTCCCCCTCCTGCTGTACACTGTATAACTTACCTGCATATGTGCGCCCACACCACACCTCTAGACAGACAGAGCCGTGATTTTTTTGAACTATTTAACGAGTTTACAAAATACAGCGCTTGAACTGCTCTTCAGTATCGGATAGCTTTGCGTTGAAACGAGGTCCAGTAAGTGAGTGTTTGGATGCGGGTGTTTGTTGAGATACGAGAGCCGCCCGCGTCGAGTGGAGCTCAATGGAACGGAAAAAAAGACGCATCTTGCGGGATTCAGTGCAGGGGCGGACCATCCGCTACTAGGTCTTTTTAGCATATTCTGGAGCTTGGTTAGGTTGAATTCAATCAACGGGAGAGTTTGGAACTGGACTGTCGGGAAAACATCCGGCATGGCAAACCGAGTCAGTCGTACGCGTTGCGGAACGGAAAGGAAAGAAAAGGAAGAAAGCATCAACGAAAAAAAGAACACGGCGGTCGTTATCCCATGGCCCAGGCTCGATTCGAACGAGCGACTCCTGCGTGAACAGTCTGCAATGCGGAATGCGGCGCAGGGCGTCCGCGACTGGGCCTTTCTACCATGCTTTGTCGCAAAAGTCCGTTTTGAGTTATAAGCCAAGATAGGTCCTTTCTGAAGTCTATAGGCAAGCGGGCATGCTTATAAGGCCTTATAGTCGCTTATAAGCCCTTATTTCCAATTATAAGCCAAAAGCACCCCCCTCCGGTTGCATTCCAAGTCCAATTTTGCTCACGTACACACAGATTGAGTTGAGCCTGGTCTATGCCCGCTATCTATATTGATAGTGGGTTTTGGGGGGGACGAAAAACCGGGTCTCTGCACGCCTCAATTAGGGAATTATGATGCCATCTTTGTTGATATCACTGTTGATGTTGTTCTCATCACTGATTAATTCACTTCATTTCATCGTCGCCCTTGGCGTTCTCTCTCTCTTTCGCTCCACCACCATCCCCGCACCATCCTCCCTGCGCATAATTCTTGGTCCCCACCATGTCCCTCTCTATCGACGGAATTCCTGCCTTCCAAGTCCTCTTCGAGCCGGTTGCCGTCACTTGTGTTTCCGTATCCTTCTATCAGCGTCTGGCTCGCGTTAGGGGGCTCCAATTGCCCTTCGTTACGACTGTCCCCGGCTTCCCACCCTTTTCAAGTGTTGTCGAATGTGCCGTACGACCTATCGCTGTCGACGTTGTCCTTGGGCTTGACTGGGCGGCGCACATCCGCGAAATCCTGATCCACTCCGGTTTCCGTATCGACCGGTCCTTCAACGCGTGGAATTTTTTCGTCCGTTCTGATCATCCGATCCATGGTCTGTTGCATCTATTCTCTGTAGATGTCGGCCACTCACACCTCATGTTTGATAGGTGTTCAGTTGGATTCGATTCGAATCCAAACTCACGGAGTCACCTCTCTCTCCGGTGAGTCCCCTGGCTTCTTTTTTTATATCTTTGTGCTAACGGTGTCTAGATGCACGTTCCGCATCTGCCGAGATACACTCTGAAATTTACTCTGAAACATACTCTGAAACTTTGAATTCTCGTGCACCCCGTGTTCCCGTTGTTAACGTGAATGATATACCCCCTATAACACCTGGAGGTTTTGATCATGTTCCCAATCATCCTCCTGCTGTTAGTGTTCGCACTGCCCGACGGAGAGACGCTCGGACTGTCCCTACTGAGACGAAATTTGTTCAATGCCCCCCTCCTCTTATTCCGCCTCGTCAGTCCTCACCGCCTCCGGCGGTAGCTTCCTCGTCTTCCACACCACCTGATGTCAAAGTATCCGTTGACCGCCGGGGATTCGATGCTGTTGATCGACTTCTTTTGTCTCCCGATCCCGCGTTCAACATCTTTACAATGAATGCTCCGTCGTTGACCAAGCTGCTTGCTGTGCACCATGTTGAGCTCCCTGCTGGGATGTCCTTGATCGATGCTCGGCAGGCGATCATTTCACATTCCCTCGCCGGTTCTTGTGCGTTTGTCGCGTGCTCGCAGTCTGAAGAAGAACGACATGCTTGCCATTGTCGTCAATTCTCCTCTGTTTACCCTTCTACAAGGTCGATGAGTTATAGTGTTCTGAGCATCTTGGCTTCCGGTTCAGAGGACAGGCTACCTGACGATAGATTGGAGCTCGTTGCCTCCTGCCTCGGTTTCGCTGATAAGACCCGAGAATATTTCACTTCTCAGTTGGCGCGGAGGAGACAGAAACTTGTATCGGATCAGACCGACGCTCAGTCCATTCGTGGTGTCTTTGAAAGCCTTGGCTCTCTCCCGAAGGGTTCGCTCGTCGTCGTTGCTCAATCCCACGGGATTCGTTTTGCCAAAACTCCCTCTGTGTCCGAGATGCGAGCTGCTGTCGTGAAGCATGTCGCAACAGGCTCGTGCACCCAACGTGAAGCCACGGTACCGTTCATCGCTTGTTCCTCTGTTGAGTCACAGCTCGCCCCTTTCGTGTCAGACCCCGGGACTGCCGAGGACCCAGCTACCCGCATGCAGATTTATCTCATACAACAAATCGCCCCCGTATTAAGGCTCAAACCCTTGAGACGA